ATTAAACAGAGGCTAACCGGAAAGTTGTCCCTGTGACCCGCAGCTGCAAACCCGCAGCCAGTGCCCGGCAACAAGCTGCAACTTCTCAGCAGCCCGGCCGCCTGGCGAACCTGACCTGCTCGGTGTCAGAACGGTTCCGCTTCCCTTCCGCTGGAGCCCCATCACTTCGGATCACTTTGGGCTTCCGTTTCTTGCTCGACTCTGATGACATGGTCGTGTGGTGAGGTCAAGAAGAAGCGGTGGAGACCTGTGAAGAGGAGAGAGCATTTGAGATTTCCCTGTGGTCAGAAAACTTAAGTCTAACGAGCGGCTGTGGTCATTTACCCCCTCGGTAACTCAAGAGAAAAGCGGCCCTTAAGCCCAGGTGGGGTAGCTCTGTTGGTGGAGCGTCATCCCGAACTCCAAAAGGCTGTGGGTTCGATTCCTGTCAACGCATATATGTAGGTTGTGGGTTCGGTCCCTGGTCAGTGCGTGTATGGGAGGCAACGGATGAATGTTTCTCTCGCTCTTTCCCTCTCTCTCCCTTCCTCTCTCTGAGCATATTCCCGGTGAGGATTTAAAAGAAAAAAAGACAACCCCCCAAAGCTGCAATTAAATTCTCTGTAAAAGGGGGGGAGCCTGTCCAAAATGAGCTCATCTTCCTCCCTTCCGCCTCCTCTAAGGACACCATCACCACATCACTGACCGCACTCCACAGCCCGGCCGATGGCACTGCCCCATCACTGGGAGCGGGTCTTTGATCTAAAGTGTTTTATGGGCAATGTTCTCCTTTGCTCTTTATACACACCTTCCGGATAAGAACAAGCACCATTTTATAGATGAGAACTCGGAGGAGGAGACATCGGGGAATGACCTGCCCCAGCTGGGATGTCCCATCAGTGCTCTTAACCGCATTATTGTGCCTCCTCCACTTGCACCATCTCATCTGGGGATGCTAACATTTAAGAGAGCAGAGCCTAGCCCTGGCTAGTATGGCTCAATGGATAGAGTGACAGCCTGCGGACTGAAGGGTCCTGGGTTCCATTCCTGGTCAGGGCACATGCCCAGGTTGCAGGCTGGATCCCCAGTGTAGGGGGAGGGAGGTGGTGCAGGAGGCAGCCGATCAATGATTCCCTCTCATCATTGATGTTTCTCTCTCTCTCCCTTCCTCTCTGAAATCAATAAAAATATATTTAAAAAAGGAGCAGAGCCTACGTTTCATAGAGCTCCCAGATCACGCAGCATCCTCCCTCAGCTCTCTCTCCTGTCACCACAGCCCCCCGAGGTGGCAGCACCCCTCCCGTACCCCAACAAATCAGTCACCAACCATCATCCATGGAGTCCGGGAAGCCCTGAGCTGGAGTCTGAGTCCCAGGACAAGTCAATGCCCTTTTCTCTGGGCCTTTGTCCCCCTCACAGACCCAACGAGAAAAAGGTCCCTACCTCAGGGGCGGCTGTGGCCGTGAACACGGGAATGCCTTCCTCGGGGGGAGGCAATGCAGACGATGCGGAGTGGGGCCTTGGGTGGTACATGCGTGATCTTCAAGGATGGTGGACACCCGAGGAGGAAGCGCCTCTCTTTCCCATTTCTGTTAGAAACGGCTGATTGCTTCAAGGAGCGTCTTATTTCCCTCCTTTAACATCGACGAACCCCAACGTTCCTTGGTGAACAAAGGGACTCTATCTCAGAGCCTGAGACAAGGACATCAGGCCGGAATCATGCACAAGGACCTGCCTTCCCTTTAAATATATTATTTTCTTTAGCATAGCCTTCTGCATATGACAAGTGAACGGAGTTTTACATTTATGACAGACGACAAATTTTCAAGTAAATTTAGATTTTAAAATTGACTCGATGAAGCCCTGGCCGGGTGGCTCGGTTGGATGGAGCGTCCTCCCGTGCACCCAAGGATTACGGGTTCGATTCCCAGTCAGGACGCATATCCAGGTTGCGGTTTGGTTAGATTCACCCTCGCCACCATGTCGGGGTGCCTATGGGAGGCAATCCATCCATGTGTCCTTCTCACGTCGATGTCTCTCTCTCTAAAAATCAATACAGCCGAAACCGGTTTGGCTCAATGGATAGAGCGTCGGCTTGGGGACCGAAGGGACCCAGGTTCGGTTCTGATCAAGGGCATGTACCTTGGTTGCGGGCACATCCCCAATAGAGGTTGTGCAAGAGGCAGCTGATCGATGACTGTCTCTCATCGATGTTTCTAGCTCTCTATCTCTCTCCCTTTCTCTCTGTACAAAATCAATAAAACATATTTTTAAAAAATCAATACAACGTGTTTTTTAAGAGACTCCATTAAGAACCTTTACCAAACAGTCCTACAAGTAACCTGATTTTGGCCAAACCCACAAAGCCGTGAGCCCCAAAGGGAAGACCCGGAAGGCTTCAGGGTGAGCATCCACGACTTGGACCCCGTCCAGCGTGTCTTTCACACGCGAGCGCTCAATAAATGGCGCTGTTTTCACCGCCACCTGCGTCCTCGTGGTCTCAGGGCTGCAAAGGGGGGCCTGGGATGCCGCAGGCGGCCTTTTCCACGAGAGGACACGGAGCGCGCGGCGGCCCTGAGGACGGAGAACCCGGGCCGGACTTCAGCCCGAGGATGGCCCCCGGCGGCCCGCCCCTCAGTCCCCGAGCCCCGGCCTCGCCCTGCCGCCCTCCCGGGGGCCCGACCCCTCCTCACCGCCCCGCGCCCCGAACCGGCCCCGGAGTTCCACTCACTTCGGGCGGCCGGCCGTGGGAACCGCAGCCCACGGACCATAGAGGAGCGGAAGGTGGGAGTGAGCGGCCGGAAGAGCGACACGGAGGCCGGAAGTGAGGCGCGGAGGCCGGAAACGGATGGTGGAAGCCGGAAGCGAGGCGTGAAGCCAAGCTTGGGAAGGAGTGAGCGACCGGAAGTGAGGCACGGAGGCCGGAAGCGAAGCTCAAAAGCCCGCGATGGCCCCTGGCGCACCGCGCTGGCTGTTGTTTGATGATGACTTGGGCGTCAGGGGCTGAGGCAACTGGGTTGCCAAGGAGGATCCCCACTGCCATCACCTCACGCTGCCCTCCCAAACCAGGAAACTGGAGCTGCGAGGGCCAAGACTCAAGGTGTTTTGCTCACGCTTTTCCCAAGCGCCTTCCTGCAACTGGTAGGCTCTCTGTTGAATGAATAGGTCTTTTGCCCAAGATAACACAAGAGTGCGGTAGTGTAAAGCCCTGGCCGGGTAGCTCAACTGGTTAGAACAGATACAAGAATCCACCAATGAATGCATCGACAAATCTGTGTTTCTAAAATCAATAAATTACAAATATTTTTCAAGTGTGGCAGTGTGAAGATTTGGACCCCTGTGAATTTGCCTCCATAACCTGGGTTGTTAACCGTCATATTCACCCTAACATCCCACACTATTGAGGGGAGCCACCAGGGAGGGCAGTAACCCCATCTTACACGTGTTTTCCCCACAAGTGCATCAGCAGTTTCCTATTTTAGGCCAGATTTGCCCAGGCAGTTGTAGTCTTAATGCATGGTTTTACAGCTCCCAGGGTTTTCTACCCCTGGTAGGAATTGCATGGGCAGGTTCAGGGCTTTGGTATAAAACCTTACCTGTAGGTAGAATATTGATGTCCTGAATCCCTGGTTGCACTCCCTTCTGCCATGGGGGAGGCCCTCTTTGGGAGTGGCTCAGGAAGCACAGTACCACACCATGAAAACCAGCAATTGGACCTGGGAAGCTGGCCCTGCCTGGAACACCTACCAGAGTTCCTCGCAGATGATGAGAAGACACCATGGTTTACGGTAAACATTTAATTGGCTCCATCAGCAATTCCAGCACAAGGGAGGCAGAATCAACCTACCCAGAGGTTCATAAGGTGTGGAGGTCACAACCCAGGGGCCCAGAAGAATGAGAGTTAGGGTGATCAGATGTGGTTGGAGAAAAGGGATGCCGGGTGAGGAAAAGCACAGAACCTGGCCGGATGTCTGCCTACAGGAAGGGAAGGGAGGGCACAGATGGGCTGCAGCTACACATTCAAGTTTTCAACCTCATTGTGTGGAGGGTAAGCAATGAGCCTCTTCCCAGCTGTCTTGTATTAGGAAACCCTCCCAAATGGTCCTGTCACCGCTGTGCTATTTCCCCTATCCGTATTTCAAGTTCTGCAATTCAAACCCAGGTTCTGAATTCTAAGTTCTACCTCCTGAGTTCCTGGTTCTTTTTCTTTTCTTTTTTAATTTTTATTGCATTTTTTACAGAGAAGGAGAAGGCTAGAGAGTCAGAAACATCAATGAGAGAGGAACATCGATCAGCTGCCTCCCGCACAACCCCCATCAGGGATGTGCCTGCAACCAAGCCAAATGCCCCTGACCGGAATTGAACCTGGGAGCCACAGGCCGACGCTCTATCCACTGAGCCAAACCGGGTAGGGCATGGGTTCCTGGTTCTTGTTCTGTTCCATCTGTTTCCTGCCCCAGATCCTTTCCAGCTCCATTTCCCCAGCCTTTTTGGGTTAATTAGGTTGGGCCTCCTGCTGACCTTGCTAACTTGAGGATTTTCTTTGACTTCTTGCAATTCTAGGCAGTTCTAGGCTTTTCCCCAGCAGGAGGGACGTGGTTCAGACTTTCTCCAGTGGAGACCAGGGAATTTCCCCATGAGCCTGGTCTGCTTTGACCTCTTCCCTTCCCACCCCACCTCTAACCACTAGACACTCAACTGTTGTTTTCCATGGCGATACTTGGGGACTGGTGGCTTCTAAATGAGGAATTTTAGGGGAGGAGGGAATGTAAGAAGACATAAAAGGTTGTGTCCTTCATTCAAAGAAATTAAAAACTGCTTCCAGCACAGGGGGAGGGATGGGCAGGGCAGACAGAGCTGCAAAGTCCTCAGACCTCTGTCATCCTCAGCTTCCTGTTGTCTGAGCTGAGCACTAGTCCCCAGAGTCCTTCCAGATCAGAGAGGAAACCAAGACAGCTGGACTGGGAGGTCCTCTGTCCATGGCTGCCCTGAGAGAGAAGGGCAGTGCAGCGGCAGCAGCATCACTGGAGAGGCGAGATCTTCAAAGGGATCATGATCCGAGACTCCATGTGCCGCACCAGGGGGACTGCGGAGAGAGGCAGAGGTCACAGAGGTGAAGGAGGCCAGCGCACCCAGGACACGGGCTTCTGAAGGGGGAGAAGGTCTGGGGTACTGAGACAGGAAATGCCCCCTTGTCCTTCTGGAACGGCCCAGGGAGAGCACCGGCTCTTCCAAACTGAGGGAGAAGGGAGGACTTAGGTGGTGATGAAACGCAACATGTAAACGCTTGTCATTGATTACCCTGGTTTGGGTTGCCATGGCACCCTCCAGAGCCTAGAGCGCTCACGTAGGCCTGCCTGGACCATGTGCAGTGAGCCACCAGGATGGAACCCAAAAAACTCATGGTTTTCAAAGCAAGCTCACGTCGCTGAGGTAGCCAAGGGAGGCTAGATTCCACCCCCAAAGAGGGCCCCTAGCAGATGACCTGTGCAGTACTCACCTGTGTAGTAGACATTTTCGTCCCAACCCCTCTTCCTCCACGCTGCATTTCTAGTCTCTTCCCGAGACTGCAGGTCTTTGTAGGCTGTGGGAGGAAGGCAGGCATTGCCTCATTCCTTGGGCCCACAGGGCTGGCTCTCCCCGCACTGCCCCCGGGGGCCCAGCCTACCCCAGAGGTGGTGCACCACGTAGAGCTCCCCTATCTGCGAGAAGAAGCCGCCCACCGCCTCCTGGTTCTCCTGTCGGTACTTGATGGCCCGAGCCCTGCGGGGCGGAGGGGTGTTGGGGAGGAGTGTTGGGGAGGAGTGTTAGGGAGGAGTGTATGCGCCAGGCCGGTACAGAGGGCCCCCGAGGTGTCCCCAGCCTGATTTCCCTGCTCCACCTCAAGGGGGAAGCCGGAGGCCCCCAGCTCTCGAGATGGTCGGGGAATGGGGTGACGGGAGTGAGCTGCGGGCTGGGTGGTCCCAGGGGATCCTCTAGAAGATGCTCACCTCCTGGGTGCATCCCCCCCTGGATCCACGAGGGGCAGCGGTTGCAGAGTTCCCTGCCCTTTGGCCCCGGGAAAGGTGGTATCCCAGGGGCCTTGGCAGGGCAGGTGGGCAGGGTCTCCCCAACCCGAGCCCCCGGCACTGCCACTCACCAGTTGTTCCCCCACTCGATCATGGTTCCTGGCTGGAAGAGAACCAGGAGGGAATCGAGTGAGCCCTCCCCTTGGACGCCAGCGTCACCGCTGGGTGAAGACCGGACACTGTCAGGTCTCCCAGCTCCCAGGGTCACGTGGCCTCCTTCAGCGGCCCTGCCTCACACCTGGGTGGGTGCGTACCCACCTCCGTGCTGCGCCCAGAGGGAGGGAGCGGCCAGAACCCCCATCTCCATGCCGGGGCACCCACCTCAGGGCTGGCCCCTTGTAGCCGCACTACAGCAGGGAACGCGGGGACAGGCGGGGGCCAGGTGGGGGGAAGGCACCTTGAGCTTGTAGGTCCTCAGCTCGTAGATGTTGGGACCGGCGCGGGGCTGCGGCTCATTCCAGAAGCTAAACTCCAGAAGCATCTGGTTTCTCCGGGACAGCAGCATCTGGCTCCGCTCCTTCCGGAACTCCAGGTACTCCTGCGGGCGCGGCGGTCAGGGCAGGGCAGCGGGGAGCACGACCCTCCCTCCCTCTGCAGCAGGGCCCACGGGGTGGCGGAGGCAGCCCCAGCACAGGCTGGGCCGGAACCAGTACGTGGGGAGGTCTGCCGAGGGGAAGCCAACGCACCTTGTTGTTTTTGAGCTTGTTCATGCAGTCCATGAGGGCGGGGTAGCCACCGGAGAAGCGCCACAGGTGCACTGTTGTGGGGTGAGGAGAGGTTCGGGTCAGGGGGCCCCTGGGACCCTGGCCTGCTTCTCCCCGAATTGGCTAAGCTTGTGTGTAAGGGGGATGGCCTCCAGCCTGGCTCTCTGTAGCACCAGGACCCTTTGCCTAGGGGAGAGGGAGTAGTGCTAGGCAGGGCATGACCCCAGACACAAGCCTGGAGCCCCAGCTCTGCCAGGTTGCCTTTGACCCCTCCAGGCTTCAATGTCCTCATCTTTTTTTTTTTTCTTTAAAAAATTTTTAATATATATTTTTTTATTTCAGAGAGGAAAAGAGAGAGAGAACCATCAATGATGAGTGGGAATCATTGATCAGCTGCCTTCTTCACGCCCCCTACTGGGGCCTGGGTGGGCGGCTGTGTTGCTGGAGAGGGGGGCACCTCACCTGCCTGGTCCTGCTCCCCATACCACGTGTTCCAGTTGCCCACGAGCGAGCAGGGGTAGTCCTCATCCAGGTGCAGCTTGGGCAGCACGGCCTCCCTGCGGGAGGGGCACAGGGATGGGGAGGGCTCAGACCAGCCATGTCAAACCCTGAGGTCAGGGATCCCCCTCAGGCTCGCGGGGCTGGGGCCAGCCTCCCCATCTCTAAGATGCAGACGCGGGACAGGACATCCTGAGGACGTGCTGCTCTGAAAGGTTCCTCCCTGGGTTCCCACAAGGAGGATGGGGCTGGGATACGGTCCCCACCCCTACAGGCACTGGGACAGGCGGGTGGAGGAAGATGCTCACGTCAGGCTGTTGTAGGCATCCAGACACTCGGGCTTCACGTTGTGAACTGCAAGGGAGGACGGAGAGTGGGGGTGTATGTGTGTGTCCTCGGGGAGCCCCACGGGGCCATTCCCAGGACAGCTCAGGGTCTCCCAGCCCCGCATCCCCAAGCCGAAGCCTTTGTGGAGGGGCCGGCTGGAGGGCGCACAGCCACTCACACTGGATTTTGTAGAGGTTGCTGGTCTCCTTCTTGGACAGGAGGGTGGAGTGAGCGTCCTTCCGGGGGTCCACCTTATGCACGAAGAGTGAGCGGAACCAGCTGCCTTCATTGTCCTTGGAATAGAAGCTGCGGGACGAAGGGGTTCAGAAGGACGCGCGGATATGATATGGGGAGCCCCGGCCCCTGCACAGGCTCAGCTGCCCCGCTCCCCTGGGCTGGTGACCCACATTCTGGGAACGGGGCCACGGGATCCCATGGCAGCTCCAGGATGAATGGCACACGTCGTGGGAGCCAGCTGAGCAGACCTGGCCCCTTCTGCAGGGTTCCTGGCACCCAGTCTGCTTCCTGAATCTCTGACGAGCCTCAAGAGGCCCGGAGAGACAGCCCCACTCCCATCTCTCTCTCTCTAGCCTCCCTGCCTCCACGTCACCCCGTTCCAAGGGGTTCTCCACGGGGCCACACACAACTGCACCCCCTTTCCTGGAGGCAAAGCAAACCCAGACCCCCCTACTGCACATCCAAAGTGCTAAGAGCCCAACCTATACTGTCAGCCTCTCTCAAGGGTGTACCCCTCTCCTGATTGCTCTGCCCTGAACGCACCAGGCTCTCCCACTCTGTGCTTCCTACCTAAGTTCTGTCCCTCTGACGAGAACGCTGCACCCCCCCTCCTTCCCAGCGCTCACACTACGCCCGGCCTGCGCCCCTTCCGGCCCCACACATGGATGGCCAGAGACGAATAAGCTTTGTCCCCGAGAAGGTCCCAGTAGCTGGAAGCAAAGAGCCTTAGAACAAACACATTGACAGCTGGAGGCCTCAGGCAGAGCCCAGGAGAGGGAGCCTGAACTTGGCCTCTGGCAATCTGGGCGGGCTCTCCAAAGGAGGTGACCTGGCCAGTTTCCAAATCTCCAGGGTAAAAAGCATAGCAAGGCGAGACTCATTCATCCAGCCAACACGTAATTGACAAATATCTACCTTGTGTACCTCCTTAGGGCGCTGTGAGAATGAACGAATGAATGAACGAACGAATACGGTGCCTTGCTCAGAGCAGAGGGACTGTTACCTCTGACCCGGAGAGCGCCAGGTAGATTCCGCAAAGAACCAGGGGGAGTTTCAACAAAGCCACTGGCCGAGCGGACACGTCCCTGGAAGATCGGCTCCCCCAGTTTGCCAACCAAGACCTTTGCTCCAAAACTGGGCCCCAAGTCATTGATTAACACCAGCGCTGACCAAGATCAACAGCCAGCGGCCAGCCTGGACGAGAGCCCACGAGCGGAAGGCAGGTCCAGGAGCTCCGGGGGGCTCCCAGGTCTTCCCGACGCCCTCCGATCTCTCCTGCCTCCGGGCTCCCGCTTCCCCAGGTGCCTAAGGAGCGAAGATCCTTCCCACGGGAAAACCCGGCAAGGAGCCTGGCCAGGATCCCAGGGCAGCGTCTGGCCTGGGACTCAGCATCCTCAGGCTCACCTTTCCAAGTTCATTCTCTCAGCGAAACCCTTTCCTCTCCCACCCCCGCAGCAGAATCAGTGCTTTCAGAGCACAGGCTCTGGGCAAACGGGGTTCTCATCCCAGCTCGGCCTCGCCTCTCTGAGCCTCATGCCCCTCACCTGGAAACAGGGCCGGAAGGACGGGCCTTTCCGCCCACGAAACAAAGGCCTGGGTGCCAGCTCTCACCCACTTTGCCAAGCTTTCCGGAGCCCATTCCCATCGGAAGGGGATAACCACAGAGCCAGGGTTCCCCATCCCAGGGGGGGTCTCAAATCCCCTGAGAAATTCTCAGGACACCCCTTCCCCCCTTTCTGCCCCCCAGACCATTGCAACAGCCTCTCTGGGAATGGGCCTAGGGGTGTGGGTTTTCACAAGCCCACCGGGGGATGCTGAGGCCCACTCAGTCTGAGAATCACTGTCCCCAGCGGTCCCAATTTTTTTATGTATTATTTTTATGTCATCTCGGCAAACCATCCCAGACACGCCAAGGACTCTGTTACCAAAACTCCACCAAGAACGCCTCTTAAGCCTAGAAAAACACAACACCGCTTTGTCCGGCCTGTGGGGAGGATCGGCCCGTCCACAAAAACACCTCTCACATTCCCCCCTCGGCCCTGCCACCACTTTCATCTCGTCTCCCCAAACACACGGCATGTTCTCCCACATCCCCTCCCCACCCCCCCACCCCGGGAATACCTGGCGCAGGACTTCCGGGTGAGAAGGGCTCCATGCATGCCCCAGGTGAGAACTTCAGTAATTACACATCTGCACTTTAATAGGTACCCATAGTCCGATGCCCCACCCAGAAAACGGCTCCAGAATGTTCTATGGATTCGCTAGGAAGCAGGGGTCTAGGCACGTGCGGAAACACTCCTGGTTCGTGTTGGCCGACTCTAGAAAGGGGCCTATTGCTGCTTCCGTTCCAGAAGCAGTCAGACAGAGAGAGCGAACACTCAAGTTCAGGGTCACCGGTACAGCAGGAAGAACGGCTGTTTACTGAGCACCTACTGTGGGCCCAGACCTAACGCTCACAACGTGGTTTTTTTTGTTTTTGTTTTTTTTTTAATATATTTTATTGATTTTTACAGAGAGGAAGGGAGAGAGTTAGAAACATCGATGAGAGAGTCATCGATCAGCCGCCTCTTGCACACCCCCTACTGGAGATGTGCCCACAGCCGAGGTCCATGCCCTTGACCGGAATCGAATCCGGGACCTTTCAGTCCGCAGGCCGATGCTCTATCCACTGAGCCACACCGGTTTCGGCTCACAACGTGTTTTTGAGAAACACGTGGCTCCCACGCTCCGTGGCCTCCGTGGCCTGCGTGGCCTCCGGATGTTTGCCCTGCAAACGGCTTCTGCCACCAGCAGATCCTGTAACCCAGCCTTTCATCTCTCCTCTGGCACAAAAGGCGATCTCCCCAAGGCCCTCTCCGGCCTCGGAGGAGGGGCTCCCGCAGACCCAGCCTGAGACATCGCCCAGAGCAGAGGGCGGACCTCCCACCCCCGGGAGCTAGCAGCCTCACCCCCGGCCCTTTAACCAGAACAGCTCCAGGAGACCCGGACTGTTTTACCTCTCCCACGTGACAGGTGAGATACCCGAGATTTCCTGAGGCCAAACGACTTGCCCAGGGTCACCCCACCGAGGAAGGCGGAAGGTAGCAGGCTCTTCCCATGCTATCAGCTTTCTCCCCAAATACCGGGCAGTCATGTGGGGGCACATGCTGGCTCCTCTCTGCCAGCTGCCCGGATGCCCCACTGCACAAAGCTCTGGCATCTCAGGGCCCACAGTGGGCGAGGTGGGGGGGGGGGCAGCTTGGGCCGGGGCAGTTGGCATGAAGGAGCCTGCCTCCTTGCCACAGGGCGGATGGGAGACCTCACTTCTCACCAAATGTGCCTGAGCACACGCTGTCCTGAACCCTGGGCCAAGGGCTGGGGAAACAGAAAAAACGAGATGATGGTCCAGTAGGGGAGACAGGCAAGCGCGGGGAGAACAGGGCGCTGGGGACGGGGGAAGGAGGGAAGGTGTGGGGCCAATCAGGTAGGCGCTGGCCCAGAGCAGGCCCCGCACAAAAGCTCAGGCCCTCAGGCCAGGGGCAGGGTCCAGCCAGCCGTCCTCTCCCAGGAGGCACTGGGCGTCAGGAGGCCAGGGTCCAGGCCCAGAGCTGCCCCCGGAACAGCAGGGGGAGTGACCTTGGGCAATTCCCACCCATCCCCAGGCCTCCTTGGCCCAACCTGTACTGCTCAGGGCTGGGGTCTGTGCAGCTGTGGCTCTTGGGGATCCTCCATCCCCCCCTGCCCTCCAATTCCAGAGGGAGAAAATGCTTTTCCCAGGAGCCCCCAATGGATGCTACCGCACAGTCACCGCAAAGGCCCGGGAGGGGGGAGGGGAGGGGGCTGAGGCCACTCCTGCTGCCTCCCCTGCTCCAGGGCCCAGGACCGGCCCCTCCCGTTCACCCCATCTTTCACCCCCTGCAACAAAGACGCTGCGCATTCCATCACCCCCATCCTGGCTCAGGGCTCTACCCCAGGCCTGGGTTTTGCACCCGCCTCCAGCCCATAGATTGCAAGCCGGAGCCTCTGCGCATCGCCCACGCCCAGGCCTGCACCCCGCCCTGCACCCCCGCGCCCGCCGCCCCGCGCTCACCGCGCCGCCGCCGCCCGCTCCGCGCGGGGCCCGGGGCCGCCCAGCAGCCGCGCCGCCGCCGAGATGCTGCCCAGCCGCGGAGCCATGTTGGCGGAGGGCAGGTTGCAGGGAGACCCGCCCCAGCCCGGCGGCGCGGCCGAGCGTAAGTAAGTCCCGCCTCCCCCGGGCACCCCGCCTCCTTCCGCCGCGGCCGCCGAACCCCCATTCCACCGCCGCCCGGGGGGGGGGGGGGGGCGGGGGCAGCGGTTCTTTCCTCTGAGCTCCTGCGCGCAGCTGCTGACCTGCTCTGTGACCTCAGGAAAGCCCTTGCCCCACTCCGGCCTCAGTGTCCAGTCCAATGAAATGGGAGCGTTTCAATAAAACGGGAACAATGAATGAGGAATTCTTTTTTTTTTTAATTTAATATATTTTATTGATATTTTACAGAGAGGAAGGGAGAAGGACAGAGAGTTAGAAACATCCATCAGCTGCCTCCTACACACTCCCGACTGGGGATGTGCCAGCAACCAAGGGACATGCCCTTGACCGGAGTCGAACCAGGGACCTTTCAGTCCACAGGCTGAAGCTCTATCCACTGGACTACACCAGCTAGGGCAGAAATGAGGGATTCTTAGCTGGCATGGATGGATGAGCATCAGAGAGAGGCCCCCGGAAACTGCGTTTTTCTGGGGACGAGGGGAGCCACAGGCAGTGTTGATCGCACTGTCAAAGCCGCAAACCCCCTCGCAATGTATTATAAGACTGGTGGGCAAGGCTCAGGGCCGCGCCGTCTCTCCATCATCTCCTTTACTCTTCTCATCCGCCTTCACCATCTCCGCCTGCGTCTCCTGGGGCCCCACACCCTCCTCCTGCCCCGGCCAGCTCCTCTGTCTGCTCTGCAAAGGAATCCCTGGTCTGCCTCAATCACAGACGTTAGCAGAAGCAGAGAGCCTTGCAGACGCCACACAGGGGCCAGGGGCTTAGTGGCTTCCAGAGGAGGAAGTAAGCATGCACGCACCTCAGATGCGAGCCCACCGCTGGCAGATGGCTCCTGGCTGGTGTGCTTGGAGCGGGGGCGTGGAGGGCAGGCTCTCATTCCGTGATTCCTTCAGCAAGTGCTGGGCCTGCCTGGCTCTGAGACACCAAAGGTGGCAGAACGGTAAAGTCCTGCCCTCTTGGGACTTAAGGCAAAATCAAGTCAGCACTGACTTTGAACCCCTCCAGGCCGGCAGGCACCTTTGGCTCTCTCCCCTCACCACTCCTGCCCGGACCCAAAATATTTACTGGGCAAGTGAGAAACGTAAACAAAAACATTTCTGCCACTTGCCACCGAGACTGTGAAGTATGGGGAGCTATAAGGACTTACCATGGGGAAGAAGAGAAAAAAGGAAGGTCTCATCTACACTCTGAGGGTCAGTGATGACATCTATAAGAAAGCGAGGCTCCAACTATGATTTCCCTCGTTTTCTAAAGTTGCTACAACAACACACATGTAGCATAGGTGTGATTTATTTAAAAAGGAAACTATATATCCTTATGACAAATGGAAAAACCTGAATCGATTGCCATCGACAGCCCTGGCTGGTTTGGCTCAGTGGATGGAGGGACGTCAGCCTGCGGGCTGAAGGGTCCCGGGTTCGATTACAATCAAGGGCACATGCCCGGGTTGTGGGCTTGGTCCCCAGGAAGGAGTGTGCAAGAGCAGCCAATCCAATTCTCATAACTGATGTTTCTCTCTCTCGCCCCCCCCCCTGCCTTCCTCTCTGAAATCAATAAAAACACATTTAAAAATAAATAAAATAAAGAAGAATGGGGGGTATCATGGGGTGTTAGACACAGCTGGGCCCAGTGGCTCCTTGGGGTGATCAGAGGATCACCTTCAGTCAGTGTGATGGGAGCTCCCAGTCACAGCCGCTTCCGGGAAAGCCCAGGTGGGCCTATGGAGGTGCAGCAAATAAGCTGTCCTTCCCTTAGGACCTGAGGGTGGCAGGCCTGGGGAGGCGGGCGCGACTGCCCCCTCACTGTGAGAATATAGTCATCTGTCCTGTCAAAGAACAGTTTAATATATATATATATATATATATATATATATATATATATATATATTATTGCTTTTTTACAGAGAGGAAGGGAGAGGAATAGAGAGCTAGAAACATTGATGAGAGAGAGTCATCAATCAGCTGCCTCCTGCACGCCCCCTACTGGGGATGTGCCCGCAACCAAGGTACATGCCCTTGACCGGAATCGAACCCGGGACCCTTTAGTCCGCAGGCTGATGCTCTATCCACTGAGCCAAACAACAGTTTAGACAGCCGCCATGTTGGACCGGGTGACTTGGCAGCCGCCATGTTGGCCGCGTGGCTTGCAGCTCCCCTGGGGGCCGCCATCTTGAACCAGCAAAGGCCAGCCCCTCCCTCTGAATTAGCTAATCTCCAAAGACTGTGAGCCTGAGCTCCAATTAAGAGCAAAGGCCAGGCCATGTGCTTGAGGGATACAAAGCCAAGCAGACAGTCTGCTCGTCGATGTGCACGCCTTCCGGACCATGTGTGGGCACCCTTCTGGGTGGAAGTAGATAGGTCTGCCTTGCTGCCTGGCTCCCGGGTGCTTTGTATTCTACCAGAACCCCTGACTTGGGGGGCTCGCCTTATTTCTAGCATCCTCTCACCTGACTCTGGGCCTAAGCCTTGAAGGATGAGTAGGGAGAATTGCCAGGGGCGGGGAGAACCGTAAGCTGAGCAAGCCACGGGTGCCCGTATGCGAAAGGGCTGCCCGGAAGAAACGGGTCTCCATGGGCCGGCTCCATCCCACAGGCTCCGAGGGTGGGGCAGCTTCCCACCCAGAGCCACGGCGCGGGCAGCCGGGAGGACCTGCTCCCGGACATGCCCACCGGGGCTGCCTAGCAACGCCTCGGCCACATCATCCATCGAGGGCATTTGGAAGCCACAGGAAGCCGGGACCCTGGGGCGGGGAGACACTGGTCCTCCTGTCTCCATGGAGAGTCCTCAGCACATTCTTGGTGTTTCTGGCTGCCTCTGCAGGGGAGGAGGAGGGCGGGCTGGTCTGCAGCCCCCTCCTGCTGGTGTAGGCATTTCCAAAGGGGGTTTTCCCATCTTCCCCCAAGTCAGGCGGGGCACGCTCCCACACCTGACCCAGAGGGGTGTGGGAAACGGGCGTCCCTCCCCGTGGCACGTGAGCCACAGCGTGGCCGCTCACCTGGAATGCAGCTCGGAGAGCTTCACCCCTACCTCAGCTACAGCGGTCAGCTCCTTCCAGTTTACCCAACTCTCTGTTTCATCACTGAATGTGCCCCCTCAGGACTGCCCCTCACCCCCCACCCCCACCCCCGTCCAGGGGAAACCGGGAGGTTTGGTCATCCTAATTGTGGCCCTTTCCCTCTCTTCAGGACACTGCCCTCTTCCATCCCAGAATCTTTTTTTTTTATTAATATATTTTATTGATTTTTTTTTTTTTTTTTTACAGAGAGGAAGGGAGAGGGGGAGAGAGTTAGAAATAGCGATGAGAGAGAAACATCAATCAGCTGCCTCCTGCACACCCCTACCTGGGAACGTGCCCTAACCAAGGTACATGCCCTTGACCGGAATAGAACCTGGGACCCTTGAGTCCGCAGGCCGATGCTCTATCCACTGAGCCAAACCTTAGGGCCCCAGGATCTTTCCTCTGCTTAGTTAACTCCATTCCCCTTGCCTCGCAACGCCGCTAACCGAGCAGCTGGTCAGAACGGGTTCTTGCCCCACGGACCATGCATTCTGGGCAGCAAACCAGAGAGATGCTGGGCAGTGATTCCACGAATGAGGAGCCGGGCCATTTCCGATTACGGCGAAACCAATCGCCCCCCATCGGAGCAGCTTGAAACAATAAACAGTTATTAAACCACAGGGTTCCCAATGGGCCAGGGATTCAGGAGCGATGAGTTCGCCAAGCTGGTTCTGGCTCTGGGTCTCCTGCAATGTCGAGCCGTGGGCCCGGCTTCCTAGGAGGCAGCTGATCGATGTTTCTCTCTCATCGATGTTTCTGACTCTCTATCCTTCTCCCTTCCTCTCTGTAAAAAATCAACAAAATAGCCGAAACCGGTTTGGCTCAGTGGTAGAGCGTTGGTCTGCGGACTGAAAGGTCCCAGGTTCGATTCCGGTCAGGGTGCATGTAGGTTGGTTGCGGGCACATCCCCACTGGGGATCGAGCCCACAATCCCGGGCATGTGCCCTTGTCCACAATCAAACTAGGGACCCTTCAGTCTGCAGGCCGACGCTCTATCCGCTGAGCCACACCGGCCAGGGCCGCCCAATTGTTAGGATTGGACTCTTCAAGCCGTTTTCAAGGAGCAGGCCTCCCCAGCACCATTGTGTCCTGCGCTAGGAGCTCTCCCTCCCCTTCCTCTCCGAGGTCCCTTCCTGCCCACCACCGGGTCCACCACATCTCTTTCCCCTGCCCCTGCCCGTCCCGCCCCTCCCTGTGAAGAGCTGACCCATCCGGCTCCCTCTCTTCCTTCCCCAAGCAAGCTGCCCTCCTGGAACCTGCCTCCATCCGTCACGGCCAAGGCCTGTTGCCCAATTTGTGAAACGAAATGAGAGGCGCTGGGGACAAAGACAGATGGGCAGCGCCGGGCGGAGAGGGGCAGGCCGCTTCCTGAGTGTGAAATATGGGCGGCCCTGCCACTACCTATTCTCCAGGACAGATAGATCATGGCGGAATGGGCTGCGGAGCAGCCAAGAGACAAATGACCCAGCTCTGGCCGTGTCACCGGCTCCTAACAGATGGGCTCTTAGGCTCGGGCTCAGCTGCGCTCAGAATTGCCTTGTCCGGCTCCTGCGGGACCCCGAACTGGAGGGACCCCAAACAGGAGGGACAGGGGCAAGACAGCTTTGTGGTATGCGTCTGAGGCACTTACGAATGACGAGACTTGGACACGGTGTCACATAAAACCATCAACAGGGTGCTCCTCCACGGTGACATCGGAAGTCGTACAAATGTCAGAAGGAGAAAAAGAAAAAAAAAGGGAACATTTGAACACATTAGGGATGGGGCAATGTCAAAGCGTCCAGGGATGGAATGAATTGTCAACTGTGTTCATGCTATTGCCACAAGGCGGCGCCACGGAAGCCGGGGAAACAGATGACCACATTGTGACATTAGGGAGCAAATCACCAAGCTGTTAAACACACACTGGGTTCTAGCAACTGTGTTTTGTGTGTGTGCGTGTGTGGCTATTCAGCTGTCATTTTGCCATTCACTGTCATTATGAACCACTTTACACAGATATATGACATTATCCATGCACTCGCAAGGCAGGGATGCCAGTACTGGGAAATACACGCCCGCGCCAAATGGATGGATGTCTTTGGAGTGGACCCGATGGAACACCATGAAGACTGAACTGCCTCCAGCACAGCTGACGCTGTAACCAGGAGCGTGCTGGGGGGCAGAGAGGATGCGGCAAAGACACAGAGCAGCAGCAAAAGCAAAACACGTGGAGGACTGCTGCAGATTGATGAGCGGTGCGAGCGCGTTTGATCACTCCCTTTACAGGCATTCCTGCGGGGAGAAGAGAGGATCTGGGGATACAAAGGCTTGAATCATGGGAAGTGTACCGGAAGCATCTTCCTGAGAAATGGGGCTTTTTATGCGGTCCTGGCATAAACACGGCTCCTGAAGCCGCCTCCTGCGAGGGGAATGCTAAGGGTTGAATTGTGTCCCGTGAAATATCGAGTCCCTGCCTCCACTTCCTGGCTCAGAGCACCTCAAACCCCTGTAATTCACTAACCGGTAACAGCACTGGGCACCCTTTTAAAAAATATATTTTTATTTATTTCAGAGAGGAAGGGAGAGAGAGAGAGATAGAAACATCAATGATAAGCCGAAACCAGTTTGGCTCAGTGGTAGAGTGTCGGTCTGCGGACTAAAAGGTCCCAGGTTCGATTCTGGTCAAGGGCATGTACCTTGGGTGCGGGCACATCCCCAGTATGGGGTGTGCAAGAGGCAGCTGATTGATGACTCTCTCTCACTGATGTTTCTAGCTTTCTATCTCTCTCCCTTCCTCTCTGTACAAAATCAATAAAATATATTTAAAAAAAAAGACTGACTGAAGTCCTAGCCTCAGTGACCAGGTTTGGAATGTAGCTCGTTGTTCCTGGGGCTTGGCAGCCAAGACCAGAGAGGCAGGGCGGTACAGTGGTCACACCGACAGGCTCTGTGGGGCACAGACCTGGGTTCTAGTCCCGGCTTCGCCTGCCCCTGCCTGGACGATGACAGCCAGCCAGAACTCTGTCACGCTGAGCCTGCTTCCTCCTCTGTAGAGAAGAGGCAATGGTTATATTGATGAGGTGCTTACGGCTCAGTGAAAACACAGGGAATGGTCTCTATTCAACCCTTAAGAGTTATTTAAAGTAGGATTTATTCCTTAAAAACAGAAAGTTATGTCCTAGCATGTTTGGCTCAGTGGTTAGAGCGTCGGTCCTGGGTTGGATTCCGGTCAAGGGTGCAGGTACCTGGGTTGCAGGCTCATCTGGGAGGCAACCAATTGATGTGTCTCTCTCTCTCTCTCTCTCTCTCTCTCTCTCTCTCTCATTGTTGTTTCTATCTCTTCCCCTTCACTCTCTCTAAAAACCAATGAAAAAAATACCTTCCAGTGAGGATTAACAACAATAAACCCCCCCAGAAAGTTATGCCCCCCTTCCCAGCTCATACACATCCCGTCACAACCTTTGATAACGTTTAAAAAAACAAATAATACACGTATATGGTTCCAAAACAGAAACCGTAGAGCGCCAAGTGCGCGAAATGCTTTGATTTGGACCGTTTTTTGCACCAACAAAAACAGCTGTCGCATCGGATTCAACCTCGTCAGTGCCAACCAGTTCACTGAACGACCACTCTGTAACTATAACTCGTTCCTAGTCCTCAACGACCCCACGAGGCAGTGACAGCCACACCCCCTCCTGTCCGCACTTACTTCGTTCTCCTAAAGAGAAGCGGAGGGACCTGGGGGAGAGCCGGCCGCCGGGGGCCTCCAAAGGGAGTTAAAAGTGTGGCGAACAGAGGCCGGGACGTGGAAGGATGAACATGCCAACCAGGCTTCTCCGCCGGGTGTCCGACACACGACCCCCCGGGCGGGCGCGCCCCCCTCGGCGCCCTGGACGCGCCAGGACCCGGGAGGCTCCCCGCGCGCGCCCCGGGGCCGGCCGGCCTCTACGTGGTCTCCCCGGAAAGGCGGGTCGGGATCCGCCGCGCCTCAACCAGTCTTGCTAGCGCTCCTAACAAAAGCTTTCGGAGCGGCCGACGCGGCAACCAATCAACGCCGAGCTCAGGCCCTCCCCGGTGAGAGCGGAACTTCCAATTGGTGGAGTCGTTCGGGAGAGGCGGGACGGAGAGGGAAAGTCCTGCCTCCCTAGGAGCCCTGCACCAATCGCTGCGTCCGAGCGGCGATCTCTCTCCCCCCCCCCCTGTTAGGTTGCGTGGTGCGTCGGGAACTTGGGCCTGAGGGCGGAGCGGGGAGCAGGCGCGGGGCTTCGGGGAGGGGACGCTTCCTGCGGGCGCGCGCGCGCGGCCCGAAGACGGTGACAGCCACGCGCGCACGTGCGCGCGCGCATCCGGAGATCTCCATCAGCCGCGGAGAGGCGCGCGGGATCGGGATCGGCGTCGTCGCCGCCGTCTAGGGGGCCGGGTCCTGGTGACCGCAGCGTCCCCCCCATACCTCGAGGCCCGGAAAGCCGGGCCGGTTCCACCCCGTCGGTCCCGGCTCGCGACCCCTCCCTTACGGGCCGCCAGGGAGGGCCCGCCACACGACTCCCCTTTTCGGCTCCCAGGGCAGGGTCCTCGCGGCCCATGCTGGCTGCTGGGGGCCCGCGCCGCCGCCTAGACAGTTCCCGGGCCGGCCGGCCTGCCACCATGGTGGCCCTGAGGCCTGTGCGGCTGCTCCAGGGGGGCTAACCGTCCCAGCGCGCGGGCCTTGGGGCGCGAGGGTCCCGGGCCTGTGAGCCCCGCGCCATGGCCGGGGCCATCGCTTCCCGCATGAGCTTCAGCTCGCTCAAGAGGAAGCAGCCCAAGACGTTCACCGTGCGGATCGTCACCATGGACGCCGAGATGGAGTTCAATTGCGAGGTGAGCGGGGCCCCCGGGCAGCGCCGACGGGCTGGGCGCGGCGAGGTGGGAGCCTGGCAGCAACCCCTGCTCCTCCTCGGGGCCCCTCTAGGGCGGCGCCGATCACCGATCGGGGCTCCCCGGCCCGGGTGTCAGGCCGAGGTGGAAACTTGAGGGGTTCTGTTTATATCATTTCTCGGCACCGATAGAGATGGGCCAGAACCGGAAGGGAGCCCTCTAGGCCCAAACCCTCGTATCAAGCATACTTTGGTGTCTTTTCCAAGAGGGTACTGGGGCTGGGAAAGCACTTCCTGAAAGTTTTCATTCATTGTTACTGGCGGAGGCCGGGAGCATGGGCGGCGGCAGGTTCTAGGGTTCCATGTGGGCTTCAGCTCCGGCTCTAGAGAGTTTTCCCTTCGTTAGGTCATCTGTGTACCCCAGGCGATAAAAGATATCTCTGTCTTATCAGGGAGTCTATGCTTGTTTCCCTTTTCCAAAACTTAAATTTTCGAGGGGAAAAAGAAAAAAAAAAAAACTCTTTGAGGGAAAGAGAGTATGTCTTATACTTAAATTTCCTAGACAGTTTGCATGATGATAAGTTATTTGTTGAATTCTTTCAAAGAGGCAGGCTTTCATACATTTCTTTCTTTTCTTTGCTTAATTTTATTGATTTTCCACAGAGAGGAAGGGAGAGGGATAGAGAACTAGAAATGTAGATGAGAGAGAAACATCGACCAGCTGCCTCCTGCACACCCCCACACTGGGGATGTGCCCCCAACCAAGGTACATGCCTTCGACCGGAATCGAACCCGGGACCTTTCAGTCCACAGACCGATGCTCTATCTGCTGAGCCAAACCGGTTTCGGCAATACATTTCTTTCTTGAAGCAAGCGCTTAGCCGCCACGGTACTTGCTGTCTCTCCAGTAACTGAAGCCCTTGCTACTCCAAGTGTGGTCTGTGGACCAGCGTCATGGGCAGCGGTGACCCACGTCAGGGCGCGGAAACTTTCCCAGTAAAGGCCGGCATCATGAATATTTTCAGCTCCGAAGGCCCTAGGGTCTCGGTTGCAACCTCTGGGCTCTTCAGCTGTACCCTGGTAGCCCAACCACTAACTTTCAGCAGGAGGCGCTCCACTGACCTGGTTCTCTGTAAAACTGGTCAACATTATTATTTAAAAAAAGACTTTAAATCCTCTAGGAATGATAGGGGCCTGCATCGAGTGAAGGAATACCTATTAAAAATATACATCATGCCGAGACCGGTTTGGCTCAGTGGATATAGTGTTGGCTTGGGGACTGAAGGGACCCGGGTTCGATTCCGGTCAAGGGCATGTACTTTGGTTGCGGGCACATCCCCAGTAGGGGGTGTGCAAGAGGCAGCTGACCGATGACTCTCTCTCATCGATGTTTCTAGCTCTCTATCTCCTCCCTTCCTCTCTGTACAAAATCAATAAAATATATTTTAAAAAAAATATATATATATACATCGTGCCCTAACCGGTTTGGCTCAGTGGATATAGCGTCGGCAGTGGACTGAAGGGTCCTAGGTTCGATTCCTGTCAAGGGAATGTACCTTGGTTGCGGGGCACAACCCCAGTAGGGGGTGTGCAGTAGGCAGCTGATGGATATTCCCTCTCATTGATGTTTCTAACTATCACTCTCCTTTCCTCACTATAAAAAAATCAATATATATAATATCAACAGCCAGCTGGCGTGGCTCAAGTGGTTGAGCATCGACCTATGAACCTGGAGGTCACGGTTCGATTCCTGGTCAGGCTACATCCCTAAATGTGGGGCTAGCAGGAGGCAGCCGATCAGTGATTCTCTCTCCTCATTGTTTCTATCTCTCTCTTCCTCTCTGAAATCAATAAAAATATATCTTTTAAAAATACGTAAACATTCCATAAGGGAGGTGAGTATTTGATCCAAGACCTCTGCCACCCTGCCTGCTCCCAGCTCAGCAAGGTAGAGAGAGAGGCTGCTGCTGCAGCTCAGAACGCAGGCCCCCTCTCCCCTCGGCGCCTAGTCTGGAGGCTCTCTTCAGTGACTTATCCTGCCCAAGGCTATTTGTTGCTGAGACGGCGGAGTGGAGGGGGAAGATGGGGCTTCTTTCACCCGCGCCTACTTATGGAAGAGGGGCTGTGCCCTGGGTGTGGCCCCCTGAGAATACTGGGCCCGTTTATTCTTGCCCCACACAGCTTATGAGATAGTGCTTCCGTCCGGAGAGCTAACTGAGAAGGCCCCAAGCTGGTATGTTCCCATCCCCACTTCCACCGAGGGCTCAGAGAATTTGCCCGGAGGCAGAAGCCAGCTTTAAAATCCTTAGCTTTTTTTTTTTTTTTCCCTAGAGAGAGTGGAAGAGAGGGAAAGATAGAGAGAAATATCAATGTGAGAGAAACACATTGATTGGTTACCTCCTCCTGCACGTGCCCCAACAGGTCCCGGTCCGGTCCGGGGAGGGGCCTGCAACCGAGGTACATGCCTTTGACTGGGAATCGAACCCGGGACCCTTTGGTCCTCAGGCCGACACTCTATCCACTGAGCCAAATCGCTAGGGCCTGAGCTTCTTTTTTAAAAATTTATTTATTAAATTTATCGGGGTGATATTGGTCAGCATGAATGGTTTCAGGTGTGGGTTTCTGTGTTACATAATCTGTATATTGCACTGTGTGCCCACCACACAAAGTCAAGTCTTCTCTAGTCTCCATATATTAGGACTCCCTTCTCGCCCACCCCCCTTCCCTCTGGCATTCACCGCATGCTGTTTGTGTTCAGACGTTTCAGTTTTATAGCCCACATATGAAATCGTATAGCTCTTAGCTTTTTCTGCCTTAATTCACTTAGCTTAATGTTGCAATGGCGCTCTTCTATCCTTTCTTATGGCTGAGTACCATTCCGATGTGTATATGTAATGCATCTTCTTTATCCAGCCCTCTACGGGAGGGCACTTTGGTTGTTTCCATGTCTTGGCCACCGTGAATAATGTTACAATGAACACAGGGAAACATATATCTTTGGGAACACGTGATTTCAAGTTCTTTTTTATTTTTTCTTCGGTGAAACCCTTCTAATCTCTTCCCAAGGTAGTGACTTCATTTGCAACAGAGTATGGAGAAGTTTATGCCTCAGGGTACTCAAGAACAAGAGAGATCTTGGTGAAAGGCAATTGGGAGGGTATTTATGGATTGCATAAGATATAGCCTAGCCGAAACCGGTTTGGCTCAGTGGATAGAGCGTCGGCCTGCGGACTGAAGGGTCCCAGGTTCGATTCCGGTCAGGGGCATGTACCTTGGTTGCGGGCATATCCCCAGTAGGGAGTGTGCAAGAGGCAGCTGATCGATGGCTCTCTCTCATTGATGTTTCTAACTCTCTCTCTCTCTTCCTCTCTGTAAAAAAATCAATAAAATAGATATTTTTAAAAATTATAAGATACAGCCTAGACCAGTGGTCGGTCAACTTCGGCTCACAAGGCACATGCGGCTCTTTGGCCCTTTGAGTGTGGCTCTTCCACAAAATACCATATGCGGGCGCGCACGTAGAGTGCAATTGAAACTTCGTGGCCCATGTGCAGAAGTCGGTTTTTGGCTCTCAAAAAAAATTTCAATCATTGGAGTGTTGATATTTGGCTCTGTCGCCTAATGAGTTTGCCGACCACTGGGTTAAACCCTAGGGTAACCACTAAAAAAAAATCTTTACAAATATAGTGCAAAGATTTATTAAAGAAATTTAAATGCTTCATTAGAAAATATTCACTTCATGCAAAAGAAAAATGGCAGTTCTATACCAAATAGTTATGCAACTTAAATGAAATGGACAAATTCCTAAAGTCACCAACTAGACATTGGCTCCAGAAGAGACCATCTGAATAGACTACAAGGGAAGAGTGTGACAGACTACAAGGGAAGAGTGTGACAGAACTCAGTAGTGAAGCTCTCCAGACTACAAGGGAAGAGTGTGACAGAACTCAGTAGTGAAGCTCTCCAGTCCTCTGGATAGACCCTTAGCATTTCTATTGCTAAGGGTCTATCCAGAGGACTGGAGAGCTTCACTACTGAGTTCTGGCAAACCTTTCAAGAAAATTAATGCGGCCCTAGCCAGCTTGGCTCAATGGATAGAGCGTCGGCCTTCAGACTGAAGGGTCCCAGGTTCGATTCTGGTCAAGGATATGTACCTTGGTTGCAGGCACATCCCCAGTAAGGGGTGTGCAGGAGGCAGCTGATGGATATTTCTCTCTCATCGATGCTTCTAACTCTCTATCCTTCTCCTTTTCTCTCTGTAAAAAAAAAAAAAAAAATCAATAAAATATATATATATATAAAACACACAATAAAGTATACGGTCTATCAAGCCTTAAAGTGCACATCAGGGACTGAGGATCTCGGTAAGACATGTGGATCTGCATTTTTTTTTTTTTTTTTAAATATATTTTATTGATTATTCACAGAGAGGAAGAGAGAGGGATAGAGAGCTAGAAACATCGATGAGAGAGAATCATCGATCAGCTGCCTCTTGCACACCCCCTACCGGGGATGTGCCCGCAACCAAGGTACATGCCCTCAACCGGAATCGAACCCGGGACCTTTCAGTCCGCAGGCCGACGCTCTATCCACTGAGCCAAACCGGTCCTGGCTGGATCTGCATTTTTAACTGACTCTCAGGTGATGCTGCAGCCGAGGAGAAGGGGGGTGGGCTCTGAAACAAGACAGACCCGGGCTTCATCGAGTTCCAGCTAAACTGCCTAAACCTGGGTCAGGCACGTCAGCTCTCTGGGCCTCAGCTTCCACATCAGTAAAATGGATCACTGCCCCCGCAAGGCTGCCATGAGGATGGCGGGATGTGGGGTGCAGGGCGGAAAGAGAGGGACTGTCATTGGCCTAGGCCAGTGGTCAGCAAGCTCATTAGTCAACAGAGCCAAATATCAGCAGTACAATGATTGACATTTCTTGTTTTTTAAAAAAATATTTTTTATTAATTTCAGAGAGGAGGGGTGAGGGAGAGAGAGAGAGAAACATCTGTGTTGA